TCCCAATTTTATCTTACTGTCAAACAGTAAGATAAAATTACTATTATTACCTATTATTATTATTATTACTACTACTATTATTAGAATTGGAAGAGATCCCAGGGGCCATCTAGTCCAACCCCCATTCCAAGCAGGAATTAACATATTATTATACACATTAGTTGGGAGGGACCCCAAAGGCCATGCATTCCAGCCCGCTTCTGCCAAGGAGGAATTAATATATAATTATACATAATTATTATTACTAGACTCATCAAGTTGGGAGGGATCCCCAGGGCCATCTAGTCCAACCCTTTTGCCCTGTAGAAATGGCTGTTATAGTACTATACATTAATTACTATTACTATTAGTAATATTATTACTAAACTCATCGAGTTGGGAGGGACCCCAAGGCCCATCTAGTCCAACCCCCTTTCCAAGTAGAAATATATTATTATACATTATTATTATTATTATTATTATTATTATTAGACTCCTAGAGTTGAAAGAGACCCCAAGGGCCCCCTTCTGTCAAGCAGGAAGATAGAATTCCTATTATTACCCATTATTATTATTAGAGTCATTGAGTTAGGAGGGATGCAAGGGCCAACCCCCTTTGCCAAGCAGGAATTAATATATTATTATACATCACTATTATTATTGCCAGACTCATTGAGTTGGGAGGGAACCCTAAGTGCCATCTAGTCCAGCCCCCTTTCAAGTAGGAATTAATATATTATTATACATTATTATTACGATGATGATGATGATTAGACTCCTAGAGTTGAAAGAGACCCCAAGGGCCCCCTTCTGTCAGTAAGATAGAATTACTATTATTACCCATTATTATTATTATTATTATTATTATTATTATTATTTTTATTAGAAACACAACAAGATGAGTCCACAGCAGACACTCTGCTGGCTGTTGTATTGGATCACATGTTGGACCCTTCCCAAGTGTCTAGGACTGTGTGATATATCGGCGAATAATGCGTGCAGATCCCAGTAAGGTGGCCTTATTATTATTATTATTATTATTGACTCCTAGAGTTGGGAGGAACCCCAAGGGCCATCTAGTCCACCCCCATTGCCAAGCAGGAATTAATATATTATTATTATAATATATTATTATTACTAGACTATTATTACTCAATGGGCACCTCGAGTTGGGAGGGACCCCCAAAGCCATCTAGTCCAGCCCCCTTTCCAAGTAGGAATTAATATATTATTATACATTATTATTACGATTATTATTACGATTATTATTATTATTATTAGACTCCTAGTGTTGAAAAGGATAGCAAGGGCCACCTTATTCTGCCAAGAAGGAATTATATTATTATTATTATATTATTATAATTATTATATTATAATTATTATTATTATTATTATTATTATTATTATTATTATTATTATTATATTCGGAATATATTATTGTACACTCTTGTTATTACTGTTGTTGCTAGACTTCTAGAGTTGGGGGAGGGAGGAGCCAAGGTCCATCCAGCCTAGCCCGCCTCTGCCTCCCCAGCTGGCACGGCACGATCCCTCCCGGCAGAGGTCCACCCGGATCCCACCGACCTTCCTCCTCCCAGCGCGCCCGCTCTTCCGGGGGGCTCCTGGCGGCGCTGCCGAAGAAGGCGGGCGGGACGGGCTGCATGGGGCCCCGGGGAAGCCCCGCCCGGCTCTGCTCTTCCCGGTAGGCCTGGACTGCCCTCCGGCCGTGCTCTCGCAGCCCCGCCTCGTCCATCGCCGCTTCCTTTGGGAAGTTGGGCAGCCAAGCCATTTAACCAAGCAGGAAGGGGGCGGGGCTTGGAGAAGAGTGGGCGGGGCTTACTCTAGGGACGGGGCTGCTGCAGAGGGGGCGTGGTTATGGCGATTCCAGCAAGTGTGCCATCCAAAGTGGACATTATTTATGTTGTCAAAAAGTGGTCTAAGGAAATTTTGTCCACACACTGCCATATATTCCAGTTCGAAGCAGATAATGTGGGATTTGTATTGTCGAAGGCTTTCATGGCCGGAATGTAGTTTTTTTTTGTTGTAGGTTTTTTCGGGCTAGAGGCATTCTCTCCTGACGTTTCGCCTGCATCTGTGGCAAGCATCCTCAGAGGTAGTGAGTTCTGTTGGAACTAGGAAAAAGGGTTTATATATCTGTGGAATGACCAGGGTGGGACAAAGGACCCTTGTCTGTTGGAGCTAGGTGTGAATGTTTCAACTGACCACCTTGATTAGCATTTGATGGCCTGGCAGTGCCTGGAGCAATCTTTTGTTGAGAGGTGATTAGATGTCCATGTCTGTTTCCTCTCTGTTGTTGTGTTATTCTAATTTTAAAAAACTCTAAAATTAGAACAGCACAACAACAGAGAGGAAACAAACAAGGACATCTAATCGCCTCTCAACAAAAGATTGCCCCAGGCACTGCCAGGCCATCAAATGCTAATCAAGGTGGTCATTTGAAACATTCACACCTACATAAAAACTCCAACCATCACCCAAGTCAAAAAAGAAGCACAATTAAAGCCTTGGCAGACCGTGAAAAAAGAATCTGCGAACCCCACCTCCTCCAAGATGAACTGAACCACCTCAACTGGGCTCTCCAGGCCAATGGAGACTCCACCTCAGACATCAGAAGAGCTGCAAGACCAAGAACAAGCCACGAGAGTCAAGATGAAGATCCACCCAGAGGAAAAGTGTTCCTGCCATACATCAAGGGAACCACTGACCGCATAGGGAAGCTGATGAGGAAACACAACATACAAACAATCTACAAACCCACCAAGAAAATCCAACAAATGCTACGTTCAGCAAAGGACAAGAGGGATCCTCTCACCTCTGCAGGAGTCTACCGTATACCATGCAGCTGTGGACAAGTCTACATAGGGACCACCAAACACAGCACCCAAATACGAATCAAGGAACATGAAAGGCACTGCAGACTACTTCAACCAGAGAAGTCAGCCAGAGCAGAGCACCTGATGAACCAGCCTGGACACAGCATATTATTTGAGAACACAGAAATGCTGGACCACACCAACAACCACCATGTCAGACTACACAGAGAAGCCATTGAAATCCACAAGCATGTGGACAATTTCAACAGAAAGGAGGAAACCATGAAAATGAACAAAATCTGGCTACCAGTATTAAAAAACTCTAAAATTACAACAGCAAAACAACAGACAAGGAAACAATCTGGGACATCTAATCACCTCTCAACAAAAGATTGCCCCAGGCACTGCCAGGCCATCAAATGCCAATCAAGGTGGTCAGTTGAAACATTGCACAATGGAGGACCTTCTTGTGGCAACACCAGAGGCACTCCAAGTGGCCAGATACTGGTCAAAGGACATTTAATCAACTACCAAGTTTGCAAAATTTGTGTTTTTTTATCTGTTTGTTTTGTTCTGTTAGAAATGTAATACAATGGTATGGTTGCTGATGACACGATAAATAAATAAATAAATATAGTTGAAACATTCACACCTCTACCGGAAGATCCCTTTCCCAGAGAGACTCTGCCCCTGTGACTCGGGTCATGTAGAAACAATAGAACATGTGCTCCTCCAGTGCCCGTTCTACAGGGATATCCATGCCAGGCTTATCTTACCTCTGTTATACAAGCACCCAGGCCATTCAGGACAATTTTATACCTCCATGCTACTTGCAGATATTAATTCAGCTACAACCTACAATGTTGCAAAGTTCTGTGCAGCAGCATACAAAATCCGTCAGGGAATGACTAGTCCCAAAAGTTAACTGTGTGTCCAGTAATCTTCTTCTCTGAATCTACAATTCGGTGATGGATCTGGGCATTGTATGTTTTTACCCTGTTTCCCCTTCCCTTCTGCTCCCTCACCCATATTGTGCTTCAGTAGTTATATTTATATTTTTAATGTACCAAACATACCAAGTTTGTATGAAAATGTGACTATTTCCTGTACTGGTCAATGACCAAAATAAATGATTTGATTTGACATTCACGCCTAGCTCCAGCAGACAAGACTCCTTTATCCCACCTTGGTCATTCCACAGATATATAAACCCTTTTTCCTAGTTCCAACAAACCTCACTACCTCTCAGGATGCTTGCCATAGATGCAGGCTAAGTGTTTGGAGTAATTATACATCTTAGCGCAGTGTTTCTCAACCTTCCTAACGCTGCGACCCCTTAATACAATTCCTCATGTTGTGATGACCCCCAACACTAAAATTATTTTCATTGCTACTTCATAACTGAAATTTTGCTATTGTTACGAAGTGTCATGTAAAATCTGATAGGCAGGATATATTTTCATTCTCTGGATCTTGGGAGTTGTAGTTGCTGGGATTTATAGTTCATCTACAATCAAAGAGCATTCTGAACTCCACCAGAGATGGAATTGACCCAAACTTGGCACACAGAATGCCCATGACCAGCAAAAAATAATGAAAGGGTTAGGTGAGCATTGGCCTTGAGTTTGGGAGTTGTAGTTCACCGATCTCCAGAAAGCACTGTGGACTCAAACAATGATAGATCTGGACTAAACTTGGCTCAATATGCCCAAATACTCAATATGCCCAAATATGAACACTATTGGGAGTTTGGGGAAAATAGACCTTGTCATTTGGGAGTTGTAGTTGCTGGGATTTATAGTTCACCTACAATCAGAGAGCATTCTGAACCCCACCAACGATAGAATTGGGCCAGACTTTCCACACAGAACTCCCATTACCAGCAGAAAATACTGTGTATCCTGATGGTCTTTGGTGACCCCTCCGACACCCCTTCGCGACCCCCCCCAGGGGTCCCGACCCCCAGGTTGAGAAACACTGCTCTAGAACATGGCCGTACAACCCGAAAAAACCTACAACAACCCAATGTGGGATTTTCTGACTTTATAGTTTGTGTGGGAGGACCCCCAGAATCAAACCTGCTCGCGAGGCGCCTCAGCCAATGGGAAGTCAGGGGCTGCTTCTGCTTTGTCCAATCAACGCGGAGGGGCGGGGTTCTGTGACGTCAGTTCATTCGGAAGAGTAGAACGTTGGCGGTCCATTCAGGAGCATGGAACGTTGGGGCGGTTCGGCTGTGACGTCAGAGAGGCGGCCCATTGAGAGCGGAGGGCGCGCCATTCAAGAGCTCGGCACGTCGAGCGTTGGAAGGAGGCCGCGTTCCTTGATGGCTCCGGAGCGCGCGGCGTCGTCGTCGTCCCCTCTCCCGCCTGCCTTCCTGCGCAGCCTGCGCACCCTCTTCGACCTGCTGGACGAGCGTGGGCGGGGCTTCGTCCACCTGCACGAGATCGAGTCCCGCTGGCTGTTGCCTGGCGACGGGGTGCGGGAGGGGCTGCGCGGCGCCGCCTCCCCCGACGGGACCCTCACCTTCGAGCGCCTCCTCCTCGGCCTCCGCGCCTCCCTCCCACGTGAGAGACTCCGCTTGTCTGGCCTATCTTATTCCCCTGATGGGAGGACTGGCCATCATGCCAGTGCATTCACCTAGTCTAACTAAATTGGGCAATTATTATTAAATTGCATATATATGTGTGTGTGTGTGTGCAATGTCATCTGCATATCTGAGGTTGTTAATGTTTCTTCCAGCAATTTTAACCCCAGCCTTATTTATAATTATTTATAAATATTAATGTTTATTAATATTTATTAATATTTATTTATTATCCTAAATATATTGTGTTCAATTGATCATATAATGGATATAATAATTGATTGTATGGATGATATGATTTGTCATTAAGCATTCACATTAATAGGATAATCATAATCATAACTTTATTTATATCCCACCCCATCTCCCCAAAAGGACTCTCTCTCTCTCTCTCTCTCTATATATATATATATATATAGATAGATAGATAGATAGATAGATAGATAGATATATAACTTATAATAAATTATATATTTGGCTATATATCATATGTATGAGACCATAGAACCATTAAATAATAATAGCAACACAATAAATGATAAAATTTGCACTCTTGCCACTCTGGTTCAGGTCCCCAGGCATCTTCAAACTGCGGCCCTCCATCTCCCAGAAGTCCTAGCCAGCTTGTTCAGTGATCAGGGATTCTGGGAGTTCGAGGCCTGAATGGCTGGAGGGCCGCAGTTGGAAGCTGCCTGGTCTGATGGTTTTCCTCCTCTTCTGCCTTCAGGCGCAGATGCCAAGCCTTTGCCGGATGAGAGCGGCTCGAAGGAGAGACCGGTGGAAGCCCGGCGGCCAGGAAGAAGCCGCGGAGAGCTCCGGAGGCACACCATCACCAGCGGCGTGGACTACGGCATGGTAACATGAGATGCTTGCGTCTCAATCCAAAGTGAAAGCCCGCCCAAAGTGTTCTGACCCCATATTATAGCTTGGAGAAGTCCAGTCTCCAGTTTTACATTCACCAGTCCTACCTAGAAACTGATTCCACCCCTCCTGCATTATTGATTCCCTTTTTTGTAGCTTTGAGTTGATGTGAGTTTTCCATGTTGGCCATGTTCCAGAGGCATTCTCCCCTGTCACTGCGGTTCACAGAGCTCTTTGATTGTGGGTGAACCACAACTCTCATCATTCTGAGTCAACTCTCCCCCAAACCCACCAGTAGTTAAAGTTTGTCATGTTAGCCAAGTGTGCCAAGTTTGATCCAGATCCAGCATCGATGGGGTTCAGATGTGGGTGGACTACAACTCCCATCGTCCAGGTTCAATTCCCCTCTGTCACGATCAATACAGTCATGATGGGATTGTGTGCCAAATTTGGTCCAGTTCCTCCATCAGTGGAAGTCAGAGTGCTCTCTATTCAGTTGTATTTCAGCTCCCATCATCCTGTACCAGTGCTCTAGTTGCAGGTGAACTACAACTCTAATCTTGGGTCAATCCCCCCTCTATCATTGGTGGGGTTCACAGTGCTCTCTGGCTGTGGGAGCCATTCTGGAAAACAGATAGATTCTTAGATAGATGCATAGATAAATAGATAGATAGATAGATACACACACGCACACACACACACACACACACACACACACATATATATAAAATTAGTAATATGGAGCCCCGGTGGCGCAGTGGGTTAAAGCACTGTTCCGGCAGGATTGAAGACCGACAGGTCGCAGGTTCGAATCCGGGGATAGGCGGATGAGCTCCCTCTATCAGCTCCAGCTCCTCATGCAGGGACATGAGAGAAGCCTCCCACAAGGATGATAAAAACATCAAATCATCCAGGCATCCCCTGGGCAACATCCTTGCAGACGGCCAATTCTCTCACACCAGAGTCACTCCTGACACGACCCAAAAAAAAAAGTAATATTATATGTCATATAAAATATATAATTATAATATATTATAATACTATTAGTATAAGTATTATATTTTATTACATTATAATATTATAAATATTATATGTATATACAATATATTATATTATTATCATAGACAGTTCCATCTTTTGAATAATATAATATATTGTATATACATATAATATTTATAATATTATAATATAATACAATATAATACTAATAGTAATATAATATTATAATTATATATTTTATAAGCCATGTAATATTACTAATATTATTACAATATAATGGTATAGTACATTATAGTAATATATAATATTGATATTGTACTATGCCAATAATATAATATATTGTTTGTATATATATCTTATAAGCAGCTCTGAGTCCCCTTCGGGGTGCGAAAGGCGGCATATAAATGTTGTGTGTGTGTGTGTGTGTGTATATATTTATACATCATGCCTCTTTGGCAGCTGAAGCAAATGAAGGAGATGGAGAAGGAGAAGGACTTTTTGCTCCAGGGGCTGGAGATGGTAGAACGAGTTCGTGACTGGTACCGCCAGCAGATCCACCTCCTCCAAGAGCAGCAGAAGCAACTGGCGCAAAGCCAAGCCCACAAGGTAAAATGTAGATCAATATATAGATACAGTAGATTCTATCTGAGCATTAGGAAGAACTTCCTGACTATAAGAAGAGTTGTTCAATAGTGGAACTCACTGCCTCAGAGTTCCTTCCTTGGAGTCTTTTATTCTGAGTCTGGATGGCCATCTTTTGGGGGGACTTTGTGCTTTTCCTGCCTGGCAGAAAGAAGGGGGTTGGACTGGATGGCCTCTGAGGGTTCCTTCCAACTCTAGGAGTCTATAATTCTATGACTCTTTGTTGACTGGCAACCATGGGGATTGATAGGTGCTGGATAAATGTGGTTTCTGATTGCTTGAGAATTGGCCTAACTCATACTATATGCCATGCACATACATGCCTTTGTGTGATTGCTTTTTTTGCCTCCACCAGGAGTTTTCCAATAGCAAAGGGGGTCCAGGTTCGCTGCAATGCCTCCTCCCCAAACTGCAGGAGCTGAACCGTTGTTTCGGGGAATTGCTTGCCCTCTCGGCAAAGGTGAGTCCTCATCTGCATCTGGATGGGCAGCAATACCAGGTGCGATACCTGTGGGGGCCCAGCAGCAAGATTTTTCAGAGGACAAGGGGGATGATGGGTTCCCTACTGAGAAGTCTATGTGTGATCAGAGTGAATTGCAGGCTTTAGAACAGAGAGAAGGGCCGGCAGTTGCAGTTCAGACAGAGGATGTTTGGGATTCCAATGTTCGTTCCTTAGCAATCGGGAAAAAGTCCGTTTCTCAGCAGGAGTTTTCCCATGATATCAGATTAGGCCTCAGCACAGAGGGAGTGAAGGATAGATTAATTAGGGGTTCAGAAAAACTCTGAGAAGTCCCTGAGATTCAGGTGTCAAAGGCATGACCTCATGTTGTCTTGGTTGGGTCTGAGTTTAAATTAAGTAATGTTTACTTGGTATCTCCAGAGTGGATAATGTTGACATAGATTCAAGTTCCCATTTTAGTGATCAAGCTCATGCTTCAAGTCTCCTGTGTTTGCCTATGTTCCTATATGAGCTTTGCCTTGGAAAAGTTCCTGTTTTCATGCTTATGGATTTATGCCTATGATCTTGACTTCTTGGATTCCATGTACCTTACTATTTTGTACTACTGAACTTTGTATATATGGACTACTGCTATTTATAGCACCTTTTCTACTGCTTTTTTGGGCAATGCCCTTTTTCCTCTTTTGGACATGCTTTTCCCAGTGGCACAGTGGGTAAATCGCTGAGCTGCTGAACTTACTGACAAAAAGGTTGGTGGTTTGAATCTGGGGAGTGGGGTGAGCTCCCACTGATAGCCCCAGCTTCTACCAACCTAGCAGTTCAAAAACATGCAAATGTGAGTTGATCAATAGGGGATGGTAACGACACTCCATGCAGTCAAGACAGCCACATGACCTTGGAGGCGTCTACGGACAACGCCGGCTCTTCGGCTTAGAAATGGAGATGAGCACCACCTTCAGAGTTGGACTCAATTAGACTTAACGTCAAGGGGAAACCTTTACCATTGCCTTTTGTAAACAAACTGCTGCAGTTAGAAATTACTGGACTCTGGTGTGGTGTTGGGTGAAAAAGTGTTCTCATGGCTAGAGTGCAACAATACCGCTCCACCCCGCAAAATTGAGTCAGGGCCTTGGATCAAGTTTGAACTAAAACCCGGAGCGGATCAATCGTCCTCTATAAGTCAAAAATGAGCGGAAGGCATACAGCCACAACAATGATTGTTTTTATTACCTTTATATTATACCCACTTTGTTATTGTTGACATTATTATTATTATTATTATTATTATTATTATTATTATTATTATTATTGGTTTCTTTGAGTGCTCAAAACGAGGAGGTCCCTGGTGCTGGAATAAAAACCATTTTCTTTCTTTGCAGCCACCGAGCACGGCATCCGTGGCCACCAATGGGCCAGCTTGCTTGGCCACGGCCTCCCCGCCCTTGGCTGGACCGCAGCAGACCATCAATATGTTGAAGGAGCAGAACTGGCTCCTCACCAAGGTGGGTGACCAACGCAGGCAGAAAAAATGAAGCTCACAGGTAGAGAGGATGGGGATGCCTGGCTTGAAAACAGTAATGTGAAAGGCACCTAGAAAGTATGAATCCCTCCAAGGAGCTGTGGATGTGTAGCATGGAGAAAAGAAGTGAGCTTCAAGTCTTGTGTGACTCCTCATTCCCATTCGTTTTTGAACAACCACCCTGTGAAGTTGGCCAGGCAAAGGGAAGAAAAAGAGAATACCCTAAGAGTCCCATCCTCTGCCACATTCAGGGGCAAAGGGGGCTTGAACCTGGCCAAAATATTTCTTTTTTTTTTACTGTATTTTTACCCCGTTCTGGCTCAACCCCAAAGGGGACTCAGAGCAACTTCCAAATTGCCAATAATTCAATACCACATTAAAACATACAAAATATATAAGATACATTTTGCATTTAAATACATTTAAATAAGCCGTTAAAAACAAAGCACATTGTCCCGAAATCATAGTTCATATTATTATAATATAATAATAATACTAGCCGTCCCCTGCCACCCGTTGCTGTGGCCCACATGGGAGTTCTGTGTGGGAGGTTTGGCCCAATTCTATCGTTGGTGAGGTTCGCAATGCTCTGTGATTGTAGGTGAACTATAAATCCCAGCAACTACATCTCCCAAATGTCAAGATTCTATTTTCCCCAAACTCCACCAGTGTTCACATTTGGGCATATTGAGTATTCGTGTAGAGTTTGGTCCAGATCCATCATTGTTTGAGTCCACAGTGATCTCTGGATGTAGGTGAACTACAACTCCAAAAGCAAAGGACACTGCCCACCAAACCCTTCCAGTATTTTCTGTTGGTCATGGGAGAACTGTGTGCCAAGTTTGGTTCAATTCCATCGTTGGTGGGGTTCAGAATGCTCTTTGATTGTAGGTGAACTATAAATCCCAGCAACTACAACTCCCAAATGACAAAATCAATATTTTTGAGTGAAGGACATACATTGGGTTGTTAGGTGTCTTGTTTCCAAATTTGGTGTCAATTTGTCCAGTGGTTTTTGAGTTCTGTTAATCCCACAAACGAACATTACATTTTTATTTATATAGATGTTGTAATAGAATATATTATATTTATGTATGTGTGTGTGTGCACACACTATAATCCGTAAACAGTCATGATCTTGTTTTTATTGCATATTGGTTGTTGACATGCTCTGAGTCCCCTTCAGGGTGAGAAGAGTGGGGTATAAATACTATAGATAAGTAATCTTATAATATGTTATGATATTATAATTGTTACAGTAGAATATATTATATTTATATATGTGTGTGTGTGTGTTATATATAGTATATTAAGGTATTATGTATGCTATATTAGAATAGATTATATTTACATAATAATAATAATAATAATAATAATAATAATAATAATAATAAATCTTTATTTATATCCTACTTTCCCCCCTAACGGGGCCCATAGCAGGTCGCAACATAACATAATACAAATCAAAGCACAATTTAACACAATATGCAAGACAAAAATCGCACAAATCATAATGACGTCCAGAAAAAAGTTATAAATAAATATTAAGCATTAAAAACATTTAAAAGCAATTACATTGTTATTATTGACCTTTCCTTTGCAGGAGGTGACGGATAAAAGTGACCGGATCACGCAGCTGGAGCAGGAGAAGTCGGCCCTGATCAAGCAGCTCTTCGAAGCTCGTGCCCAAAGCAGCAGCAGGGAGGCCAACTTGCTGGATTCCACCTTCATCTAGTGCCCGCTTTTTATATAGAATCATTGGGTTTGGCAAACATCGCACGACTTGCCTTATCATGAGTCTTTGATTTTGCAAATATGATACGACTTGCATTTTGCAAATGTTTATACAGCTTGGATTCTGCAAATGCAATACTGCTTGGATTCTGCAGATCCTGGCACCTTGGTACTCCGGACTCCCTGGGTTTTTGCAGCCCTTTTCCAAGGCCCCAATCCCAGGACGATGGGCATCTTTGAGAAAATGAACTAATGGTTGGGGGACATTTCTGAAGTCTGGGAACGGCGAACCAGACTCGCCGGATGGAAATCTCTGCTTTGTACACTCCATTTTCCTCTTAAGAGAAGACTACCTCTGAGTTTTTTTCCCCAGCACTCCTTTCCTCAGTTGGCGTTCACGACAACCTCAAATCACTCCATCTATTCTATTTTTTTCCCTTTTCTATTCTTGTTTTGGTATATATGTTGAGTCTGTTGGTGTGTTTTTGTGTTAGTATGTGTATATCTTATTTTTATACTAGTTAGAAAGCAGATTAGTATGTCTTTTTTATATATATCTCACTTTATTACCCTTGTATTTTTTCTTTTCTTTTCTATTAATAAAAATTAATAGCAGATAATAATATTAATAATATTAATAGCAGATAATAATAATGCTACAGCAATGGCAAACTTGAGTGAATACCCTGTCATGCAGTTTCTTTGAGGGAGGTGAAGACACAACACAACAAATTATTTATTTATCATATCAGAAGCGCATTGAGAATACAGTTATAATGTAGTGTTCCCTTGCTACTTTGCGGTTCGCTTTTAGCAAACTCGCTGTTTCGCGGGGTTTTGAAAATATTAATAAAAATATTTTTATACATTTTATATAAAATTTTATTTTATATAAAATATATTACATATTTATATAAAATTATATTTTATATAAAATATATTACATATTTATGTCTAGTGGAGGCCGTGGACCCCGGAAGTGTGGTGGTCTGAGGCACAGCGGAGAAGGCCTCCCTCCCTGGCCTCCACAGACCCTGGAAGTGCGGTGGCCTGAGATGCAGCGGGGAAGGGCTGCCTCTGTGGCCTGCTGCTGCCTGCGTGGCTCTGAAGGCTCTGTGGAGGCCAGGGAAGCAGGCAGGTGCCCTTGGGATGGGCCAGAAGGTGGGAAAGGAAGTGCGGGTAAGAAAATAATATATATTTATTTGTCGTGTCAGGGCAACCAGTCAATTGTATTGCATTTCTAACAGAACAAAACAAACAAACATACAAAACACAAAATTTGCAAGCTTGGTAGTTGATTAAATGTCCTTTGACCAGTATCTGGCCTCTTGGAGTGCTTCTGGTGTTGCCGCAAGAAGGTCCTCTCCGCACTCACATATCAAGGATTCCACTTTGTAGCCCCATTTCTGAAGGTTGGCTCTGCATCTCGTGGTGCCAAAGCGCAGTCTGTTCAGCGCCTTCCAAGTCGCCCAGTCCTCTGTGGAGCTGGCTGCTGGTGCTGATGAACAACTGCACTGCATCCTGTCAGATCCCCAAAATCTGGAGGAAAGTCATCGCCATCTTGAAGCCAGGCAAAGACCGTAATGACCCCAAAAGCTACAGACCAATCTCCCTGTTGTGCCACCTCCACAAAGTTCTGGAGAGGCTTATTTTGCATAGAATTACGGAAAAAATAGACCCCTGTCTGATCCCACAGCAAGCTGGCTTCAGAAAAGGCAAAAGCATTACATTATGATATGATACATATTATATTATATTATTATCATAACACGAGACAAGATGGAACTGTCCCCTGGACCCCTCTCTCTTCACTCTGGCCCAGAGCGGCAGTTTGTGTTGGGGGAGGGGTCCCCAACTGATGACATATGCAGGAGACAAGATGGAACTGTCCTTTGGTCTCTGAGCGCAGTGCTTCTGGTGTTGCTGCAAGGAGGTCCTCCATTGTGCATGTAGCAGGGTTCAGGTTGCATTGCAGCAGGTGGTCTGTAGTTTGCTCTTCTCCACTCGCATGTCGTGGATTCCACTTTGTAGCCCCATTTCTTAAGGTTGGCTCTGCATCTCGTGGTGCCAGAGCGCAGTCTGTTCAGCACCTTCCAAGTCGCCCAGTTTTCTGTGTGCCCAGGAGGGAGTCTCTCATTTGGTATCAGCCATTGGTTGAGGTTCTGGGTTTGAGCCTGCCACTTTTGGACTCTCGCTTGCTGAGGTGTTCCAGTGAGTGTCTCTGTAGATCTTAGAAAACTTTCTAGATTTAAGTCGTTGACGTGCTGGCTGATACCCAAACAAAGGATGAGCTGGAGATGTCACTGCCTTGGTCCTTTCACTATTGGCTGCTACTTCCCGGCGGATGTCAGGTGGTCAGTGTAATTTCTCCAGTGGTGTAGGGCACAGACACCCTGTGATAATGCGGCATGTCTCATTAAGAGCCACATCCACTGTTTTAGCGTGGTGAGATGTGTTCCACACTGGGCATGCATACTCAGCAGCAGAGTAGCATAGCGCAAGGGCAGATGTCTTCACTGTGTCTGGTTGTGATCCCCAGGTTTTGCCAGTCAGCTTTCGTATGATGTTGTTTCTAGCACCCACTTTTTGCTTGATGTTCAGGCAGTGCTTCTTGTGGATCAGAGCACGGTCCAGAGTGACTCCCAGGTATTTGGGTGTGCTGCAGTGCTCCAGTGGGATTCCTTCCCAGGTGATCCTCAGAGCTCGGGATGCTTGTCTGTTCTTGAGATGAAAAGCACATGTCTGTGTTTTAGATGGATTAGGGATCAGCTGGTTTTCCCTGTAAAAGGCAGTAAGAGCACCTAGAGCTTCGGAGAGCTTCTGTTCTACCATCTCAAAGTTCCCTGCTTGAGCAGTAATGGCACGATCATCAGCATAGATGAAACTCTCTGTCCCTTCTGGCAGTGGCCGGTCATTTGTGTAGATGTTGAACATGGATGGAGCAAGCACGCTCCCCTGAGGCAGGCCGTTCTTCTGTTTCCGCCATCTACTTCTTTGGCCCTGGAACTCAACAAAAAAGCTCCTGTTTTGTAGCAGGTTTCCTATGAGGCGGGTGAGGTGGTCGTCCTTTGTGATATTATACATTTTTCTCAGGAGGAGATGGTGGTTGACAGTATCATAAGCTGCTGGCAGGTCTATGAAGACAGCTTCTGTGATCTGCTGCCTTTCAAAGCCATCTTCTATGCGCTGAGTCAGGTTCAACACCTGTGATGTGCAGCTTTTGCCTTTCCTGAAGCCAATAATATATATAAAATGTATAAATATTAAAATTAACATGGCGTCCCTACTTCGTGGATTTTAATTTATCGCGGGGGGCTTCCTGGAATGGATTGAGGAAACCAACAACAAAGTCAAAAACTTAGCATGATACTAAATGTCCTTTGACCAGAAGCTGACCACTTGGAGTGCCTCTGGAGTTGCTGTGAGACGGTCCTCCATTGTGCATGTGGCAGGGCTCAGGTTGCATTGCAGCAGGTGGTCTGTGGTTTGCTCTTCTCCAAACTCGCATGTTGTGGATTCCATTTTGTGGCCTGATTTCTTAAAGTTGGCTCTGCATCTTGTGATGCCAGAGCGCAGCCTGTTCTAAGATCTACAGAGATACTCGCAGGAACACCTCAGCAAGCAAGAGTCCAAAAGTGGCAGATTAAACATGGAACCTCAACTAGTGGCTGAGACCAGCTGAGAGACTCCCTCCTGGGCACACACAAGACTGGACGACTTGGAAGGTGCTGAACAGGCTGCGCTCTGGCACCACAAGATGCAGAGCCCACCTTAAGAAATGGGGCCTCAAAGTGGAGCCCACGACCTGCGAGTGCAGAGAAGAGCAAACCACAGACGACCTATTACAATGCAGCCTGAGCCCTGCCACATGCACAATGGAGGACCTTCTCACAGCCACACCAGAGGCACTCCAAGTGGCCAGTTAAATGTCAAAGGAAATTTAGTATATTGCCAAGTTTTGAACTTTGTGTTTTTAAATACAGTACATTACAACTGTACCCTCAATTTGCTTCTGATGCAATAAATAAATAGATTTTCCAATTTGGTACAACCCCTCTCAAAAATACTTTACGAATATGTGGTTATTTGCCTTGCCTTCTAATGTTGGGAAAGAGAGCGAGAAGAAGTCAAAGGGAGCATCTGCTTGGCACACTTGGTTGTCAATCACCTGCTCTGCTCCAATCCTGGCCTTCCCTTAGTCCCACCCCCAGCTGCTCAGGTGAGATTGCCCTCAGGTGCGCTGCTAGGAGCAGAGATAGAGCAACAGACGCCCAGGTAAGGGAAAGGCTCCTATCATTCTTACTGTTCTCGGCACTGCTTGATTTCTTGGCTTTCACGAAAGGTACAACTGTTTGTGTTAAAGTTTGAGATTTGTTTCATTCCCCATCTCCCTCCCCTCTCACACCTTCCATTATTCCTTCCTTATTTCCACCTACTTTCCTTCTTTCCCTCTCTCTCCTTCCTTCCCCCTTTTGTTCGTTCGTTCCTTCCTTCTTCCCTCTCCTTCCTTCCATCCTTAGCTCTCCTTCCTTCCCTCCCTCTCCTTCCTTCCCTCTCCTTCCTTCCTTCCCTCCCTTCCTTCCCCCTTTCTTCCTTCATTCCCTCTCCTTTCTTCCATCCTTCCTTCCCTCGCTCCTTCTTTCCTTCCTTCCTTCCTTCCCTCCCTCCCTCCCTCTCCTTTCT